TCATAACATAAACACAATTTAAATGCAATCATACAGGCATATTGCTCACAGTCTAGCCCGTAGCGCCAAATCGCGCCCTTTCCGGTGATTTGCACCCCCCTCAAACTTTCGATTTGCACCCCTTCCCCCCCCCCCCCCGCCCTAAAACTTTCGATTTCCACCACCCCCCCCCCCCTCGCAAATTTTTTCCAACCCACTTTGGCGCTCCTAAGGTCGGCACCCGGGGACATATGCCCCCCTCGCTACGCCTCTCCTATAAAACCCGAAAGATAGAATAATAATTAGAAATCAGCATAAATAATAGGCAGTATTTAAAATATCCGTGTTTTACCTACAATATTTCAATTTATCCATTCTCGCATTTTTTCCAGTACTTTAAATTTTTAAAATTTACAATAGAGTTTCATAACTAAAACCATTGCGCACCAATAAAACCTATGAACGTGATGACGCGTCTATAATAGTGCTGAATAGTTGATTAAAAATTATAAGTAATAAACGGTAGGGCCTACATTCAGTGAATAAAATAAAAAGATTGCCTTTTATCAATCCATGCTAATTATAATTTTATAACAATAATTTCCTCTTACACATCCGAATAATTTGCATTCACATTTTGCTAATTATATTATTGCAACACTAATTCCTTCTATGACGAACGTATATTTGCATTCACATTTTTTATTAGCGTGAGTTTAATGTATTTTTAAATTACCTCCTTTGTCAAAATTAGAAAAGAGTTAAATTAATTTGATTTTTCTACCCTGCTGTTATTATGTTATTAAAATGTATCCACTTTTTCTGGGAGCCTAAACGAAAATGATATTTGACATTAATCTTTTTAATACGTTTTAGCAGTTTGCGTGTATTTAATATTTTCTTGACGTTATGCGAAAGAGTAAAAACCGTGGCAATTATAAAATAGCTCTATGCCGCTATATAAACAAACCCTACTCTAATACTTATAATAAGACACTGCGGTGCACTGAAAAGCACAGCATGGTGCGAATGTTTACTTTTATGGTTCCAAAATCTATAGCGATGACGGAAGGAAGGAAGGACTGACACACTACTTGCCCGCTTATATTATAGATATATCTATATATATATATCTATATATCTATATATATATATCTATATATATCTATATATATCTATATATATATATATATAGGGGGGGGGGGCGGCGCCAAATTGAAAGTTCGCCCCGGGCGCCGGGAAGGGTCGCTACGCCTCACAGTCAGGTAACTGAGGTTAGTCCAGTCCAAGTTATAATCAGCATATATCTTTTTAACTCATTGACTATATCATCTCCGGTAACAGTGCCATACTTGCTATGTAGGGAAGCCAGCTCTTGTGTTATGTTCATGTCGTCATCTACACAACAAAAACAAATTAACGCAAGCAGTTGAGAGGTGGAACAGCTGTCCAGCGACTCATCCATTGCAATTCAAAGATTTTCAAACTTGATTGCATTTTTCGTTATTTCAGTCACAATGTTTTCACCAATTGTCTGCAAAAGCGAGCAATGGTAATTGTACCCAAAGGAACATTTTCAAATTGTTTTGAATTTTCTGGGCAAAGTTCCTCAGCCACCTCTAACAAATATTTATTCAGTGAACAAAAAGATCGGACGAGAGAACCCCGCGGGCCGAATGCGGCCCGCGGGCCGTAGTTTGGACACCCCTGCTTTAGATGGACACCTCTGAAGGCGCATGCTATGTTGGTGCTAAGGTTTACCTGAAATACATAACATGATAAGTAAACTTTAAACTATGAGAGTTTATCGAACACGTACACTCACACGTATTTCAGCCAGTGCACTTAACACACTTGACAGGTGATAAATCTCTTAGATTCGATACCACACAATCATTCCATTAGTTCCATACAACACACGCCTTATACAGATTCAATGTCCTGAGTACCGATTATAAATTCAATACCATGAACACCAGTCCTTAAATGCGATGCCAATCATTCTTCACAAAGACTGAATATAATGATCATAAATTTAAATGAAGATGCAAACTATCAGGAATTTTTCTAAAGGGGGGAGGGGGAGGTTTCACTAGAAAATTCCGGCGGGTTGATAGGTGACGGGCAATTACGAAAATATTCATATACATTTCCAGCCCCTACCCTCCATCGCACGAGAAATGCGTGAAAGAAACAGTGTATACTTAAAAATACTTTTATACAATGAGCACCAATGACGCCATAAATTGGTCAAAGTATATTTTGTTTATATAAATAAATATATTTTGTTCTATAAAAATAAATATATTTTGTTTTATTTCGTCTAGGCGGGGTCGGTGGACATGGGGGGGGGGGGGGGGGGGGAGGGGGCGCTGCCCACTGTGCACTTTAGCCGTCCCCTGGAAGTTATAGAAAAAAATTAAATAATAAAAGATATATACTATACCTTAACTATTGTCCGCCCCTCGAAGGCTTCAAGTGTCGCCTCCGGTCCCCCCCCCCCCGCCCCGTCCCCCGTAAACTTTAAGTACCCCCGACCCCGAACAAAATGTCTGAAAATACCCTGATCGAAGTTAGAAGTGATATGACGAATGTCGTTGCTGTTTGTACTCTGAATCCGATTATACCCGGTTACCGTACGTACGTGTACTTAATGAATGTTAACCCGACTCCTTTTTAACCGGCGCCCCACTTGTCTATTTTTAACATTCCCTCGTTGTGACTAGAAAAATTTTACCCATGTGATCTCAACCAGCCAATCGAAGGCGCTCAATACACTCCGCTAACTTCGACATCTGTTTGCAGCCTCACACTATGTCTGATGAGCCCACTACATTTAGTCAACGTTTGACCCAAGACCTAAACCACAATTCAACATTTGTTTTGGTTTGAGAACAAACGTATCAACATTACTGATAAAGGCACACGGTGTCGATTTACAAAATCACCCGGCTAAGAAAATCCGTCTTATCTTTGGACATGCTTTAAAAAAAAAACTTAAGCTGGTCTGACATTTGAAAAATAAATAACGAAAGATATCGCATGCAATGTTTGTTAATGTCTAAAGATCATGTTAATGCCAAAAGTTCATGTTAATGCCAAAAGGTCATGTTAATGCCAAAAGGTCATGTTAATGCCAAAAGGTCATGTTATTGCCAAAAGTTCATGTTAATGCCAAAAGGTCATGTTATTGTCAAAAGGCCATGTTTGTTTATGCCAAAATGCCATGTTTAATGCTAGTATGTTAAGCGGATTCGTCTGTAGTCCCACTTTGACATAGTCCTATCGTCCACCAGGATATAGTCCTATCTTCCCATTAGAACATAGCCCTATCGTCCACTAGGACACAGAGGCGTAGCGATGGGGGGGGGGGGGGCAGGGGGGTACATATGTCCCCGGGCGCCGACCTTAGGGGGCGCCAAAATGGGTTGTAAAACAAATTAAAATGTCATTTTAGCTGCATTTTTGCAATTTGAGGGGGGGGGGGGGGGTGCAAATCGAAAATTTGCTCCCGAGGGGGCCAAATTGAAAGTTTGTCCCCGGGCGCCGGGAAGGGTCGCTACGCCTCTACTAGGACATAGTCCTATCTTCCTATTATAACATAGTCCACCATAATAATTTTTCGACCTGACCCCATAGGTAGCCCCCCCCCCCCCCCCTTTGTTTTGTGCCGTCTTCCCTCTCCAGATTTCTCTTGGCCCCGCCCTAAAGGATCCCACGAGAAGCTTGTCTTGATACGCTGATCATTGTCTTCTCAATGGTGTAGCCAATCCGTCACAAATCTCTCTAAAGGATCTTCACTTCAGTCTGACTTCTTTCGTTTCCTACGGACTAGACATCTCCATGGGCTCAGCGGTTTCTGCTGTATCGCTAAAAGACATGACGTGTGGATTAACTTTTTTTCTTTCCTTTGTTCTTAATTGTAATTAGTTAAGTATTAAGTGTCAACGTGTTATGCGCCATATGGCATATGGCCCGTTGACTCCGATTCCAGCCTGCTTTTCTTTTTGGATTTGCTTCCATAGCCTTTGTCCAACCAAGAACAACTACAAGGCAGCAGTTGTTTGAATTTGGAGTTGTCTCTCCTAGAAGAGTGGCTGTCCCCAGCTAACGAGCCTCATCTGCCTCGAGACATTTCTGTTTAGCAACTATGAGCTTTACCAACTCGACCACGCCGACACCTGGCAGCAGTTGTTTGATTTTGGAGTTTTCCCTCCTAGATGAAGATGGGTTGCTGTGCCCGGCTATCGAGCCTCATCTGCCCGGGGTTCGAACAAGGGCAAGCTTATATATATACATATATATATATATATATATATATATATATATATATATATATATATATATATATATATATATATATATATATATATATATATATATATATATATATATATTCAAGCTTGCCCTAAACCCACAGTCAGCTCTATCGATGAAATCTTTAAGTAAAGAATAGTCCATAAAAGGTTAGTCGATACTCAAACCCCGCTCCCCCCCCCCCCCACATCGTCGCCACATAGCCTGGTCGCCCTCCCACCCCAAAACTAAGCGTAAATCTAACTGAAAATTAATCTCGTTTTTCATTTATGTTTCTAAAATATAAAATAAATAAATGCTACGTTACATTTTTTTTTAAAACCAAGGCGTGTGACATCATTAACGGTCGACCCCCTCCGTGTACAAATCATAAGGTTTCAATAAGCAGAACAAAATTAAAAAAACGCAAAAAAAAAAAAAAACCATTTTTATTAAACAACGCATGCTGTCGATTTAAGCCAAAGCTAATTAATTAACGCCGATCGATATTTCCTTCCCTAGCAAAATTAGTTAGCGTGTCGCTAAAAGTCACGTCACCAATCATTTATCAACAAGCTGACACCCCCCCCCCCCCCCTCACCTTAAAAAAAAATAACCCACAACAGCGATAAAAAAATTTACAGCGCTATAAATTGAGTTAACACCGGGTATTTTTTCCCCCATGGCCGTGAACAATGTTCATTCACTATGTTCAAAACATTGTTTTCGGTGAAGCGACAGGGACGTGACATGAGTTACTCGTTGTCTACAAATCATTTCAGGATCGATAACTCTTAATTATTTGTGTGCTTCTATTGTTTTCGCTGGGCCCACGATTCAGGTTTGATCATTGTTACAGAACATTTTTTTAAAATTCTCGACTAATCTAACACTCAAGGGAATAATTTTTAGATTTAGGTTTATTTGATTATTAAATATTTTTCAATAAAACAATTCATCTCCGATAACTAACCGATTCGGGCCATCTGTTTTTTTTATACAATGTGTACCATTTTTACTACTTTCAATAATTTAATCAGGATTACCTGTAATGTTATTTAATCCAACGTCATTTGTTTGAAGAAAGTTAAAAAAAATAATAAACCGAATGAAGTAATAAATTGTACGTTTAATTTTGTTTTAAAATCAGTGTACGAATCGTATACATTTAAGAAATGAGGTAGATCTATACATCAAGACAATTTTGATTTTATTGTTGTAACTTAGGCCTTGAGCGTATCACTTCCACAGGAGAGGAGTTAGAGGGGTATTGCTGACTCAACTAGATCTCTCTATGAGAGATTTTTATAAAGTTGTAAACGTTTCTCTGAATCTGTCTGTTCAGTTGTTTGAGATCATATCTGTTTGGGATTATTTCCAAATTATTTCTTAATTGCATGCACAAAAAATCTTCGCTCAATTGTTTTTCTTTAATGCGGTGTCCCGTCCCGTCCCCGGTTGGTCCTTGTCCCCCCCCCCCCCCTCCCCCCTGGTCATTGTTTCCCCAAGCGAGATTTTCTCATAAATCCACACTGAAAAGAGTGGCCTACTTAAAACAAAAAATCAAGTTGCACACGACTCTAACGAAGGTAGATGTGTAGTGTTTAAATTTATTACTTCCCTTTGTCAGAAACATTTGTTACTTCCCCTTCTCAACCAATCGACCATTTGATCGCTGGCCGCCTAAGTGCACGCAGTAAATAAATTCTTCTTAGACTACGACACTACCGTCTGCTTATTCCGAGATAATAAAAACAAACGACCACTAAGTTATCAGCAAGTTTACCTAGTGATATGTGCTTCGTCTTCATTATTATAACAGTTAACTTTTGGGGTGAAATATTTATTTTAAACTTTTCCACCCCCCCCCCTCCCCCACAAGTCCAGAATTTCTTTCAGGCATATCTTCCGAAGAAAGTCTACTACCACCCCCGAGCAAAATGGAATTATATACCCCCCCCCATTCGAAAATGTCAACTGCCCCCCCCCCAACATACCCCGGAGAAAATAGTCTGATAGAAACACTGCCCCCAACTTTAAAGCTAGCAAACACTCGCGAGCTGAATGTACGCCGATCAATGAAAATCAATGGATGATTAAAATCTGGATTAAAAAAAAAAACATGCCGTTTTGTTAAATTTGAAGGTTTCCATTTTAAAACAGAAAAAAAAATTGCGGCGCCATGATTTTGACGTGATGTCAAAGTTTTTTTCCCCAACAAATTCCAAGGTTACCAAGGTCGTCTCTACAGCTAATGCTACGGCATAAGTCAGGTTTTGTTTGTTTGTAAATTTTAGATAATCTTTGTCACGTGGTTCTTAAAGTAGAGATGGAGAGGGGGGGGGGGGGTGAGTTTTTGAAATTAAATGTGGCGTGAAAAAAACGTCATCTTATGTTTATTTGATGATTTGTTTTGACTAAACCCGCCAAAGATCAGTTTTTCTTTCAAAAGATAGTTTTACTTGTCTCCGCCTTCCCTCCCCAACGCTAGGAAATTTTAGTCCGCCCCTCGGAAAGTTTCAAGGTGCCCCCCCCCCCCCATATAAATAAGTCTGGAAGAAACACTGCCGAATGCCAAAGCCCCTGATGAGCAAAGGGCTGCAGATATACCTCTCAAATCGTACTCTTTTGGGCAGCTCTCTTTAGTTAAGCCCTTGTATTTTTTATGTAAAGGATCCCACCCTAGTTTTTTAAATATTTTTAAATAGTTTAGAATTGTTTTTAAAAGATAAAACCAACAGAAAACGATTAGATATTATTATAAATAGAATTTACAAAAAAATACCAACGACGATAACATTTATGAAAGTCTCGATAGTAGCACCCATGGAGTACCTTAAGTTATAGAAAACTTTGGGTAATTTTAGCGCCCCAAATCCCTAGGGTCTACCTGGCGACTCACGAGTTAGCTACTAAGTCTGAGACAAATAATACACGTTGTAAATCTCGCCATGACGCTTCAAGTATTGACACCCCCAACATATTTAACTTATGCTAAATATAAGCCATGTCAATCTATAAATAGCCACACTATCACAGTCCAAAAACAATGGCCGCGCCGAGTCTATTTATATCTAGAACAAACACCGTCGTACCGTTGCTTGTTTGTTCTGTCCCTATAAGTACCCGTGAGTGTGCCTACATGTCTTTGTCAATGTTAGTGTTGTTTGTTCTATGGTGACCCTCTGTTTGTTCTATGGTGACCTTCTGTTTGTTCTATATTGTCTGATCCATTACTGTAGCAATTTGTCGCCTTAAGGTAACTGTTGATAGTTCAAGTGACTAATGACGGCGCACTAATCAACTTTCGAAATTGAATCAAAACAAAAATTAAGCCATATTTTAGTCCAAAATCGACACGACCATCGCTAGCATTGGACGGTGTGGTCGGGGATTAGAGCGCAGTACTGCTAACCCAAAAGTCTCGAGTTCGGACCTAGGGGCGAGGTAACAATGGGTATCTCACAAGAAAAATAAAGGCGCCTAAGCATCGGACTGACGACACTATTTTTATGCCCAAAAAATCAAATGAACCCAACTGCGTCTGGTCTGAAAAGTTAACTTATTTTATATCATGAATAGGTTAAATCGTATACATTAGCTAGCATGTATACAATGAGCTACGCATGAAATAGACTAATGCTTGAGGATTAGTTTATCGCTGAAAGAAACAACCTTCAAATGTCAGCTACAGGTCTTTTCTGACATTAGACCGGAACTGATAATGTCGCGTTCACAACACGTGGTCAGAACTACTCTAACAAACACATTAGTTTAATTCCAGAGTTATCGCCCATTTCCGACTACGCTATCGATAATTGGGGGTTAGCCTTGCGGAGTGTGATAAAACTTTTTTTTTCTCTCTGCAGGTCTGAATGTCGATTAGAGATATAGATTTGACATTAACTTTGTTGAAAGGTCATGGCACTAGTGTAGGTGTGTGTATGTATGTGTATCTGAGTAGTTCGATCCACTCATGTCACACGACCCACCCCTCCACACGACCCACCCCTCCACATGACCCACCCCTCCACATGACCCACCCCTGGTACATGACCCACCCCTGGTACATGACCCACCCCTTGTACATGACCCACCCCTGGTACATGACCCACCCCTGGTACATGACCCACCCCTGGTACATGACCCACCCCTGGTACATGACCCACCCCTGGTACATGACCCACCCCTGGTACATGACCCACCCCTGGTACATGACCCACCCCTGGTACATGACCCACCCCTTGTACATGACCCACCCCTGGTACATGACCCACCCCTGGTACATGACCCACCCCTGGTACATGACCCACCCCTGGTACATGACCCACCCCTGGTACATGACCCACCCCTGGTACATGACCCACCCCTGGTACATGACCCACCCCTGGTACATGACCCACCCCTGGTACATGACCCACCCCTGGTACATGACCCACCCCTGGTACATGACCCACCCCTGGTACATGACCCACCCCTCCACATGACCCACCCCTCCAAATGACCCACCCCTCCACATGACCCACCCCTCCACATGACCCACCCCTCCACATGTCCCACCCCTCCACATGACCCACCCCTCCACATGACCCACCCCTCCACATGACCCACCCCTCCACATGACCCACCCCTCCACATGACCCACCCCTCCACATGACCCACCCCTCCACATGACCCAACTCTCCACATACCCACCCCTCCACATACCCACCCCTCCACATGACCCACCCCTCCACATGACCCACCCCTGGTACATGACCCACCCCTGGTACATGACCCACCCCTCCACATGACTCACCCCTCCACATGACCCACCCCTGGTACATGACCCACCCCTGGTACATGACCCACCCCTCCACATGACCCACCCCTCCACACGACCCACCCCTCCACATGACCCACCCCTCCACATGACCCACCCCTCTACATGACCCACCCCTCCACACGACCCACCCCTCCACACGACCCACCCCTCCACATGACCCACCCCTCCACATGACCCACCCCTCCACACGACCCACCCCTCCACACGACCCACCCCTCCACACGACCCACCCCTCCACACGACCCACCCCTCCACACGACCCACCCCTCCACACGACTTACCCCTCCACACGACCCATCCCTCCACACGACCCACCCCTCCACACGACCCACCCCTCCACACGACCCACCCCTCCACACGATCCACCCCTGGTACATGAACCACCCCTGGTACATGACCCACCCCTTGTACATGACCCACCCCTGGTACATGACCCACCCCTGGTACATGACCCACCCCTGGTACATGACCCACCCCTGGTACATGACCCACCCCTTGTACATGACCCACCCCTGGTACATGACCCACCCCTGGTACATGACCCACCCCTGGTACATGACCCACCCCTGGTACATGACCCACCCCTGGTACATGACCCACCCCTGGTACATGACCCACCCCTGGTACATGACCCACCCCTGGTACATGACCCACCCCTGGTACATGACCCACCCCTGGTACATGACCCACCCCTGGTACATGACCCACCCCTGGTACATGACCCACCCCTGGTACATGTCCCACCCCTCCACATGACCCACCCCTCCACATGACCCACCCCTCCACATGACCCACCCCTCCACATGACCCACCCCTCCACATGACCCACCCCTCCACATGACCCACCCCTCCACACGACCCACCCCTCCACACGACCCACCCCTCCACACGACCCACCCCTCCACACGACCCACCCCTCCACATGACCCACCCCTCCACATGACCCACCCCTCCACATGACCCACCCCTCCACTGCCTTTATATCAGAATCCTTTCATTCATTCAACTATAACTTTCTACTATCGATTACCATCAATCACAAATCAATACATGCCAACTGAACGTGTTGTAGATTTCAAAACACGTTGATCAAACATTACTTACCTTATGTTGTTAACACTGACATTAAAAAAATAAAGCAATAACGGCTAAATCTTTTAATTTAACTTTCGATTTTTCTGAACTTACAGTACATTCATTTTATTCCTGAATTCGTTCTTCAATAGTTGATACATTTGAGTAAAATGTACATTTCAGCGAGTATTGTAGCCGTTTTACTATCCACGATTCCAGCTTATTGCATCCGTTCGTTGTTTTCACAAAATTGTATCCACGTGGATAACAGTGGTTTGTTTGATCCATTTCTTGAATAACCAGCTAAATCAATACTTACAGTAAAAAATTTAAGTCCTTAATTTCTTTTATGTTATGAAGTAGAGCACATGTTGGTCACGTGTCGTAAATTAGAAAATGGCGACCTGGCTGTTTATTTACGTTAATCGCTGTTGTATCATTATTAGTAACCTACTTTGTACAGCTGTCGTATTTGTATGTGTACTGCTGTCCTATATGTACAGTGTACAGCTGTCTTTCGTATTTGTATCTGTAACACTGTCGTATGTCTACTGTGTACAGCTGTCTTGTGTGTATTATACACAGATTTTCTATGTGTAACGTGTACAACTGTCCTTTGTGTACCGTGTACAGTTGTCTTCTGTGTACGTACAGTGTACAGCTGTCTTCTGTGTACGTACTGTGTACCGCTGTCCTTTGTTTACTGTAACGAATCAGGAACTATAGTAATTCACTTTTTCAAATATCGATTTTCACTACAATGACTTTTTTTTTATAATGGGTAGAAACCGGATATACATGTCACCTTTAGGCGTTACAAATCAAACATGTGATTGATCGTGATTGATAACCTGATCAGATTCTTTCAAAATCTAACAAACGATTAGTGAAAACTGATTTCTTTTCGTGGAGAGTTCTCTAGTTGCTGTACCAGTGTAGGGACTTGATGATTAACGTTGTTTATCAAAGGGCAGCAACTCATGTGACCATGATGGCGTGTTGCGGTGTGTGTGTGTCGGATGGTGAGGAAGAGAACTACAGTTCTAGGGACGAGGCGAAGAACGCGAGGAGAAGAAATCACGAGCTGACCAAACTCTTGAAGAAACAGCACGCTATCGACACGAAGAGGCTACGTCTGCTTCTGTTGGGTAAGTCAGTTCTTAAGTGGGTTCTTATTTGTTTGTTTTTTAAAGTGGATTCTTATTTTTTTTTTAAAGTGGGTATTTATTGTTTTGGTTGGTTTTTTGGTGGCTTCCTATTTTGGGCGGTTTTTAGTTGATTCTTTTTTTTTGTGGGTTCTTACTTTGGGTGGTTTTTTTTCAGTGGCTTCTTATTTTAGCTGGGATAGTTTGAATTGGATCTCCATTTTGGTGGTATTTGTTTTGTTTGCTAAGCGACTAACGTTCTTATAATAATTTTTCATTTGTCGGCAAATAATTAGTTTTGGTGAGGTTGTTACTTGGGGAAAGTAACATGTTTAGTGACCTTTAGTGCAAATGACCTCAGTGACCCTAAGTGCCAATGACCTCAGTGACCCTAAGTGACAATGACCTCAGTGACCCTAAGTGCCAATGACCTCAGTGACCCTAAGTGCCAATGACCTAAGTGACCCCAAGTGCCAACGACCTCACTGACTCTGCGTACGGATGCCCTTTAAAATGACCACTGTTACTGTTACAGGAGCCAGCGAGTCTGGCAAGAGCACCATCACCAAACAGATGAAAATAATTCACATCAACGGATACACCTTCTCGTAAGTCTGCTATTGTTTACTGTTACCCCGACTAATACAACAATGTAAGTAGGTGGATATCCATAAAAACCTTTGTAGAAACTGCTTATTTTAATTCATTAAAATAGTTATTTTAATATTTTACACATGTACTAAACTTACCTTTTTAAAACTGTTTTATGATACATACATTTTTAATTTTTTTTTTACCTGCACATTTAACAAACGGCCATTAACATAGGAAAAATGTAACCCTCATAGACAGGTTACCCCATAACCTAATACCTACACTCAGTGGCGTAGAGAGGTCGGGTGCCACCCGGTGCGGCACTTAATCAATTTTCGATGTTCACCCCCCCCCCCTCCCCCCTCAAACTTTCAATTTCCACCTCTTACAAGACTATTTAACACTCGAATTAATCGCTCAATTAAGTGTAATTATCATTTTTCTCTATATATTTTGCTATTTTTTGCCTTGGAATCACCCCCCTAATGGTGTCACCCAGTGCCGTCCGCACCCCCCGCCCCGCCCCCCCCCCCCCCTCGCTACGCCTCTGCCTACACTCCCCTAGTTCTTATTTCTGAATACCCCACCCCACCCCCTCTTTTTTTTTAGTGAAAGACTGGAGAAAATAAAAGACATCAACCGTAACGTCAGGGAATCTATGTTAGTAAGTCGTTTAAAAAGTATCACCAACATGTTAACGAAATTATGGATTGATTTTTGTGGGTGTAATAATGTTAAATGCGATTGCACAAGACAGTATATATTAATGACCTGTGTATAAATGACACTGTTTATATCGTCTGTCCCGCATGACATGTATACAACAACATAAAATAGCTGTTATCATTTGTCACTGTGCTGACATAAGCCTATGCACTCTATGCCTTTCTGATGCTCGGTACCAGTTTAAGCTGGGTGGACTCAGGAAGGTTTATATTAAGTTTGATTGCGCTGCTTATCCAAGATTCGAAAGATTAACGAAAGCGCCCAAATGTCTGTCTTGGCAAAAGCTTCAAAATGTCTGTCTTAACGAAAGCTCCCAAATGTCTGTCTGTACATTTTTTACTGAAAGAAAACTCCTTAACTCTCTCCCTATCCCCAGTCATAACTATTTCAAACTAACCCTGATCATAATACTGACCAAAGTCTGACCGTAGAAATCTTTGTTCAACCTAGCCCTTAATCCTTATCGTGACCTTAACATCGATACCGACAAAAATACAACAACTAAATTTGGTTTTATGTTCCCAGCGTTAATTATTAACTGCGATATTAATTTCACACAACAAAATCAAAGGGAGGCGACTAGCATGTTTTCCCGTACCTTCCCACAGAGTATCGTGGTTGCTATGCAACTGTTGTCCATCTCGCTGGAGAGGGAAGAGAACAAGACCAGCTTTGACTTTATCCTCACGGAGGCTGCCAAGGAGGTCACAGAGTTATCTGAGGTAGGTGGAGGGGTGGAGGGGTGGGTGGGTGGGGGTAACTAAGATTGATGGTTAAATATTCAGTCCTCATACCCCCTCGTCACAACCAGCCTGACACACTTGGCCCGACACACTTGGCCCGACACACTTGGCCCGACACACTTGGCCCGACCCCCAACCACCCGACCCCCAACCACCCCGACCCCCAACCACCCCGACCCCCGACCCCCGACCCCCAACCCCCCCGAACCCCACCCCCCATAAACCCCCACCCCCCCTAAACCCCCACCCCCCTAAACCCCCACCCCCCTAAACCCCTAGCCACCCGAAACCCCAATGACACCCCGCCCAACCACCCCGACCCCGAATCACCCCGACCCCCAACCACCCCGACCCCCAACCACCCCGACCCCCCAACCACCCCGACCCCTCAACCACCCCGACCCCCCAACCACCCCGACCCCTCAACCACCCCGACCCCCCAACCACCCCGACCCCCCAACCACCCCGACCCTCAACTACTCCGACACCCGACCCCCACCTAACCTGTGACAAACTAGGTCACTCACCTGTCTACCTTTACCTGCAGGTGTTCTGGGACCACTGTAAGAGCCTGTGGGCAGACGCCGGTGTCCAGCACTGCTACAACCGCTCCCACGAGTACCAGCTGATCGACAGTGCCAAGTAGTGAGTTACAGAGAGTTCTAGAAACATTTACCTCACATTTCCATAATTGCGCCAAAATTTAACAAATCCCAAGTTCGATATTTGCCGTCTGACACCTGTCTGACCCCTGTCGTTTGACCCCCCCTGTCGTCTGATCCCTGTCGTCTGACCCCTGTCGTCTGACCCCTGTCGACTGACCCCTGTCGTTTGACCCCTGTCGTCTTAACCCGTGCCGTCTGACCCCTGTCGTCTGACCCCTGTCGTCTGACCCCTGTCGTCTGACCCCTGTCGTCTGACCCCTGTCGTCTGACCCCTGTCGTCTGACCCCTGTCGTCTGACCCCTGTCGTCTGACCCCTGTCGTCTGACCCCTGTCGTCTGAACCCTGTCGTTTGACCCCTGTCGTTTGACCCCTGTCGTTTGACCCCTGTCGTTTGATCCCTGTCGTCTGACCCCTAGTCGTCTTACCCCTAGTCCTCAAGCCTCACACCACTATTTAATTCTATAGCTCTACATTATAAACGTTTGAATATTGGCTTAAACAACAGACATGTACGGAAGGGCATAGCGTGCAGACAATGAAGTTATCTTAGTCTGGGAAAACCCTTTTAAAAATAGTTATCTGTATTTTCATTCAACAATCGTGTCCGTGTTTTTTTTTTTGCTTGTATTATACTGCATTGATTTGACCAATAATCTCCCTTTGATATGAGTGAACTGCACTGGTTTGATCCTGGATGGTTGTGGGTTTATCAGTCCATACCGCTAGACTTCCGCTTCTGAGGTCTGTGTGGTGTCGTTAGTCAGCGGTGAGGATTGGATCTTAGACCTATCACCAAGTTGTATCTAATATCGTCGATTGGCTAAGGGAGATAACAAGATTTAAAAAATGCAACTCGAGTGGTCTTTTCGTTAAAAAAAAATCTTAGGCTATAAATAGCCGTATCTTGAGATCGAAACAAGTGAAATTGTGGTTAATTTTTAATGTCCTTTGTACGGGTGTAGGAATTGGTGACATGATGGGTCTGTAAGATCCTAATGCAGGAGGAGGAGGGGGTCATTCACAAGCACACCCCTACCTCCATTGATCTGTTACTAAGTCCTGACAGGGGTCTGCTGTGTCATGGTTGACGACTGTTAGGGGTCAGCTGTATGTTAGTGGGGGGTCAGCTGTATGTTAGTGGGGGGTCAGATGTATGTTAGTTGGGGTCAGATGTATGTTAGTGGGGTCTATGTTAGTGGGGTCTGCTGTATGTTAGTGGGGTCTATGTTAGTGGGGGTCTGCTGTATGTTAGTGGGGGGTCTGCTGTATGTTAGTGGGGGTCTGTTGTATGTTAGTGGGGGTCTGCTGTATGTTAGTGGGGTCTATGTTAGTGGGGGTCTATGTTAGTGGGGGTCTGCTGTATGTTAGTGGGGGTCTACTGTATGTTAGTGGGGGTCTGTTGTATGTTAGTGGGGTATATGTTAGTGGGGGTCTGCTGTATGTTAGTGGGGTCTATGTTAGTGGGGGTCTGCTGTATGTTAGTGGGGGTCTACTGTATGTTAGTGGGGGTCTGTTGTATGTTAGTGGGGTCTATGTTAGTGGGGGTCTATGTTAGTGGGGGTCTGCTGTATGTTAGTGGGGGTCTGCTGTATGTTAGTGGGGGTCTGTTAGTGGGGGTCTGCTGTATGTTAGTGGGGGTCTGCTGTATGTTAGTGGGGGTCAGCTGTATGTTAGTGGGGGTCTACTGTATGTTAGTGGGGGGTCAGCTGTATGTTAGTGGGGGGTCAGCTGTATGTTAGTGGGGGGTCAGCTGTATGTTAGTGGGGGGTCAGCTGTATGTTAGTTGGGGTCAGATGTATGTTAGTGGGGGTCTATGTTAGTGGGGTCTGCTGTATGTTAGTGGGGTCTATGTTAGTGGGGGTCTGCTGTATGTTAGTGGGGGTCTGCTGTATGTTAGTGGGGGTCTACTGTATGTTAGTGGGGGGTCTGCTGTATGTTAGTGGGGGGTCTGCTGTATGTTAGTGGGGGTCTGTTGTATGTTAGTGGGGGTCTGCTGTATGTTAGTGGGGGTCTGCTGTATGTTAGTGGGGGTCTGCTGTATGTTAGTGGGGGTCTGCTGTATGTTAGTGGGGGTCTGCTGTATGTTAGTGGGGGTCTACTGTATGTTAGTGGGGGTCTGTTGTATGTTAGTGGGGTCTATGTTAGTGGGGGTCTATGTTAGTGGGGGTCTGCTGTATGTTAGTAGGGGTCTGCTGTATGTTAGTGGGGGTCTGTTAGTGGGGGTCTGCTGTATGTTAGTGGGGGTCTGCTGTATGTTAGTGGGGGTCAGCTGTATGTTAGTGGGGGTCTACTGTATGTTAGTGGGGGGTCAGCTGTATGTTAGTGGGGGGTCAGCTGTATGTTAGTGGGGGGTCAGCTGTATGTTAGTGGGGGGTCAGCTGTATGTTAGTTGGGGTCAGATGTATGTTAGTGGGGGTCTATGTTAGTGGGGTCTGCTGTATGTTAGTGGGGTCTATGTTAGTGGGGGTCTGCTGTATGTTAGTGGGGGTCTGCTGTATGTTAGTGGGGGTCTACTGTATGTTAGTGGGGGGTCTGCTGTATGTTAGTGGGGGGTCTGCTGTATGTTAGTGGGGGTCTGTTGTATGTTAGTGGGGGTCTGCTGTATGTTAGTGGGGGTCTGCTGTATGTTAGTGGGGGTCTGCTGTATGTTAGTGGGGGTCTACTGTATGTTAGTGGGGGTCTATGTTAGTGGGGGTATGCTGTATGTTAGTGGGGTCTATGTTAGTGGGGGTCTGCTGTATGTTAGTGGGGTCTATGTTAGTGGGGGTCTGCTGTATGTTAGTGGGGTCTGCTGTATGTTAGTGGGGGTCTGCTGTATGTTAGTGGGGGATCTGCTGTATGTTAGTGGGGGTCTGCCTTATGTTAGTGGGGGTCTATGTTAGTGGGGGTCTGCTGTATGTTAGTGGGGGTCTATGTTAGTGGGGTCTATGTTAGTGGGGGTCAGCTGTATGTTAGTGGGGGTCTGCTGTATGTTAGTGGGGGTCTATGTTAGTGGGGGTCTATGTTAGTGGGGGTCTGATGTATGTTAGTGGGGTCTGCTGTATGTTAGTGGGGGTCTATGTTAGTGGGGGTCAGCTGTATGTTAGTGGGGGTCTGCTGTATGTTAGTGGGGGTCTGCTGTATGTTGGTGGGGTCTATGTTAGTGGGGGTCTGCTGTATGTTAGTGGGGTCTATGTTAGTGGGGTCTGCTGTATGTTAGTAGGGGTCTGCTGTATGTTAGTGGGGTCTGCTGTTTGTTAGTAGGGGTCTGCTGTATGTTAGTAGGGGTCTATGTTAGTGGGGGTCTTCTGTATGTTAGTGGGGGTCTGCTGTATGTTAGTGGGGTCTGCTGTATGTTAGTGGGGTCTGCTGTATGTTAGTGGGGTCTATGTTAGTGGGGGTCTGCTGTATGTAAGTAGGGGTCTGCTGTATGTTAGTGGGGTCTATGTTAGTGGGGGTCTGCTGTATGTTAGTGGGGTCTATGTTAGTGGGGGTCTGCTGTATGTTAGTGGGGGTCTGCTGTATGTTAGTGGGGGTCTGCTGTATGTTAGTGGGGGTCTGCTGTATGTTAGTGGGGGTCTGCTGTATGTTAGTGGGGGTCTGCTGTATGTTAGTGGGGTCTATGTTAGTGGGGGTCTGCTGTATGTTAGTGGGGTCTATGTTAGTGGGGGTCTGCTGTATGTTAGTGGGGGTCTGCTGTATGTTAGTGGGGGTCTATGTTAGTGGGGGTCTGCTGTATGTTAGTGGGGTCTGCTGTATGTTAGTGGGGGTCTGCTGTATGTTAGTAGGGGTGTGCTGTATGTTAGTGGGGTCTATGTTAGTGGGGTCTGCTATATGTTAGTGGGGTCTATGTTAGTGGGGGTCTGCTGTATGTTAGTGGGGGTCTATGTTAGTGGGGGTCTGCTGTGTTAGTGGGGTCTGCTGTATGTTAGTGGGGTCTATGTTAGTGGGGGTCAGCTGTATGTTAGTGGGGGTCTGCTGTATGTTAGTGGGGGTCTGCTGTATGTTAGTGGGGGTCTATGTTAGTGGGGGTCTGCTGTATGTTAGTGGGGTCTGCTGTATGTTAGTGGGGGTCTATGTTAGTGGGGTCTGCTGTATGTTAGTGGGGTCTATGTTAGTGGGGGTCTGCTGTATGTTAGTGGGGGTCTGCTGTATGTTAGTGGGGGTCTACTGTATGTTAGTGGGGGGTCTGCTGTATGTTAGTGGGGGGTCTGCTGTATGTTAGTGGGGGTCTGTTGTATGTTAGTGGGGGTCTGCTGTATGTTAGTGGGGGTCTGCTGTATGTTAGTGGGGGTCTGCTGTATGTTAGTGGGGGTCTGCTGTATGTTAGTGGGGGTCTGCTGTATGTTAGTGGGGGTCTACTGTATGTTAGTGGGGGTCTGTTGTATGTTAGTGGGGTCTATGTTAGTGGGGGTCTATGTTAGTGGGGGTCTGCTGTATGTTAGTAGGGGTCTGCTGTATGTTAGTGGGGGTCTGTTAGTGGGGGTCTGCTGTATGTTAGTGGGGGTCTGCTGTATGTTAGTGGGGGTCAGCTGTATGTTAGTGGGGGTCTACTGTATGTTAGTGGGGGGTCAGCTGTATGTTAGTGGGGGGTCAGCTGTATGTTAGTGGGGGGTCAGCTGTATGTTAGTGGGGGGTCAGCTGTATGTTAGTTGGGGTCAGATGTATGTTAGTGGGGGTCTATGTTAGTGGGGTCTGCTGTATGTTAGTGGGGTCTATGTTAGTGGGGGTCTGCTGTATGTTAGTGGGGGTCTGCTGTATGTTAGTGGGGGTCTACTGTATGTTAGTGGGGGGTCTGCTGTATGTTAGTGGGGGGTCTGCTGTATGTTAGTGGGGGTCTGTTGTATGTTAGTGGGGGTCTGCTGTATGTTAGTGGGGGTCTGCTGTATGTTAGTGGGGGTCTGCTGTATGTTAGTGGGGGTCTACTGTATGTTAGTGGGGGTCTATGTTAGTGGGGGTATGCTGTATGTTAGTGGGGTCTATGTTAGTGGGGGTCTGCTG